AGACAAGCGCATGTGAGTCTGCCCTCGATCACAGCAGTAGATACGGGCCCGTGCAGCCCCACCGTATTTCAATCAGATATCCAGTAATCATCACATTTCACATAAAGAAAAATCGACGACGTACAACACAGCTGAAAAAGCACCTACAACTCATGACTTGAGTGGAAGTATATTTCATGGCACATTGCTTTCATATTTTACACAGAATAGAGTGCAACAATCAATGTCTATTTTTCATCAAGAGATGTGCCACCGCGTAAAGCTACCACAGTGATGCAACTGCCAGAAAACTTTCGCCCCCTTCTTTAAGTGACAATCATTCTTTAATGTGAGAGAGAGGCTACTGGTTTAAGAGCCTGTCGACCTGCGCTACTTCACACCCACTGCCCGGCTCACAATACGAGCGCCCTCATTAAAACTGAAACCCCAGACCTGCTCAGCTTTTTCTTTTTCCTGCTCTCTTTTTAAAAAAGAGAAGTTTTAAACTGACAAAGCCACGGAAAATCCCTATCAGACATCCCTCCCTTAATCTGTCTAATTTTGAAAGGTATTGTTTAAGGCTTCAAGGTTTATATGGTTTAATCCTCCTCTATCACTACAGGGCAGCAAATGAGGCCATGTCAGCAGCTCTGGCACCACTAATCTACTTCACACAACAGAAAATCCCCCTTCTAGATAAGGTTGCATAGGTTTCCTGTGAACTCGCCTTTTGATGTTCCTTACCTGCTATTGAACATGACTTCTGTCTTAACCCAACTGTCACTCACTCCCTGTCCCCTTTTATCATGCCCAGTGACCCCCCTTTCCCCTCTCCCCGATCCTAAATCTGGAGTCCATCAGGAGGTGCAGGCATTTCACTCGCTCTATTTTAGGAAAGAGTACTGAGGCGAGCTGCGTGATTGAGTCCTTGAGTACGTGTTGATGCTCTTTTAGTTTGGGTTGAGGAAGGATGTGCTCTTTTGTTTTGAAATCCAGAGGAAAATTTGTGTGGACTGTTTTTTAATCCGGGTTCGTTAACAAAGCCGCAATGTTGCATCACCTTGGCTATGAATGGCAACCCCATGGATAATGCAACTTTGCAGTACTGTGGCAACCAAGACATTAGACTTGGCAGCCTTGGCTCCTGGTAAAGCAGCGGTTTGTTAGACACCGAGGGAGAGATCTCTAAGGTAGCTGCCCCTGCGCTCTGTGGAGATTGTGTATTGAAGCAGATTTATTGCTGAGCTCTCAATTTCCACACAGCGTTCAAAAGAAATTGGATTCATGCCACTCTCCGTGCATCTTAGTTTCTTTTACAAACGAAGGAGAAAGGGGGGGGAATCAAACAACATCCAACATTTTCAAGGGTTGTAATGTATGGTACAAATTGTGTGCAACAAATGACGGCTATCTAATGTATATTTGCTTTCCTATAGCTCAGACAGTAAAGTGTGGTGATGGGGCGCAAAGGTTTTTTTCCCAAGGAAGAAATATATAACTTGAATGCAGTCTAAGTCACTTTGGTAAAAGCTTCTGCCAAATCTTTTAATATAAACATTTAATGTATAAGTGGAAAGGTTACTACAGGTGTCAGTCCTTTTTTTTTAATAAACAGTAACATTTTTGGAAAAATTAAGTACAAAAACAACCAGCAGAATGGATCAAAATGCAAATACCTTACATTTATTTTAGGTGTAGACACTTCTCCTTAGTGTTGAGAGATTTTGTTTTAAGTTAAATAAATTAATAGTGAAGCAGGATAAACATTTTGTAAAATGTTTATAATTAGTACACTTTATTTTAAACTGTCCTTGTTATAGTGTAATTATACATTTAAGTACTGAGTAATATTAATTAACTGATTAGGATTAGGATTAGTGGTTGGCTTAGGGTTACTTGCATGTAATTATGCATAATTTATTGTTATTATAATATTAAGTACATGTAACAGGTGCAACAAGGACACCTTAAAATAAAGTGTTACCCAGACTTGTTAGCTGAGACCTCTGAACTCATTTTACAAATTCTAATTCAAGTAATTTAATTCATTATAAATCAACTTATAACATGAAATTCCCAAATATATGAGTGTTCCCTTCCAAAAAAAACTCCACAGAACATCTCTTGCCCGTCAGCTGTAGCATGTGCTGTGAAACCCAGCAAGAGTTTCCTCCTGTCACTGCTGCTCTGTGTGTTCATGAGTCTGTTTGAGTTGAACTCAATGCTTTTCCTCAGCATGGCAAGAGAATAAGAGAAAGACAGGCTGTCCTCAGTCTCTGTGAGGTGTCAGGTTGAATAGCTACCTGTTTGTTTGCTCACAGCTGTGCTTTGTTAGTCTCTCACACTTGAGAGGCGGCTTCATAAATTCACAGTGTGTCAAACAAATCAATAACTCCCATTAACCGAGGAAGATTCTCTGCTCTGTACTTGAGGGGCCACGGCCTCCCCTCTTTGTTTAGATGTGTTTTTTTCTGTGAAGGAGGAAGATAGGATGGGGAAATGAAGGACAGGTAAAAGAAAGAAAGAGAGAGAGAGTAATAGATAAAGTGAAATGGAGTTGGGCATGTTGCCGATTCACATAGACAGATAACTGCTCTGAATGACTTGCCCCACTTGGTCTTTCCAACAGTTGCTGTAGTCCTCTCTTTTAGGGGAAGCGTCTGAGGAAACTACAAGAGGTTTCACAGCTTCATTCAGTTGAATGAGTCTGAAGTGTTTTGGCAATCAATTTCTGTTTCATAGCTTACATCTGCAGAAGGAAAATGCAGTATAGATCCATGTCTTCATACTACTTTAGGAAGTTATCTATTTTTAAATAGAGATAGATATTTTAGTTCTTTGTCCCTGTGAGTGTGTCTCATATTTATAGAACATACTTAATGGTTCTTTGCACTTGTAGTGCAGCACATAATTGTATTCTTGAGTTGAATTACTGAAATAAATGAACTTTTCCACGACATTCTAATTTATTGAGATGCACCTGTACTTCCAGCTTTTGGCCTTCTGTCACCATCATAAAAGTGTAGTAGGTGAAAAAAAGTTGAAGACACCAAAGTGGAACATAGCAAGTAGTTTGTATTCTCCTATGATTAATAAATATCCAAGAAAAGTTTACCTTCTGGGGTTCCAGAATAATGTGTAATGATAATATGCAATTATCACCTCTTATTTTTTCAGCAGTAACCTCAAGATGAGGTGCAACTCGAGTGTTAGAACAAGTGCTGATGGAAAGAATAGGGGCTGAGAGAGAAAGAGAGAGAGAGCACATGACATATGTGTGTCGTGTAAGTGTTAAGTGCTCTTTTACTTGTGCAGTTAATTTAGACTGATCACAGGGGGACCTCCACCGATTCATTGTTGTTTGTGAATTCAAACATGTTCATTACTGAGCATATTTCAAGGAGAGAGTTAGAGCGAGATTGAGAAAAAGAGCTAATCGCTTCAGATTGATCTCCGTGCAGAGCGTAAATGTATTTAAGATCATAATCCTTGTAAATAGCTTCCAGCAAGGCAAAGGCAGCCTTTTAACATTGACTAAATGAAGTAAATAGAAGCGAATGAATTTTTAAAAGACGCATTGCAGTTGAACCCTGTTTGTTATGTATGGAACAGATCAGTGTGGAAACTGGAAGCTAATGAGGCCTGTAAATTTAAAGCTGAAATCATATTCTGAGGCTTTGCCACCCTGCTGTTTAGGGGTTTGCAGTGAAGTTCGTTTTTAAATGCAGAGCGTCTGTTCTCCCTCCGAAAGCCCCTCACACCCCAACAGATGGAGAGAATATGGAGCTCGGAAGGTTTACCTAGGAGGTGGTAACAGTGAAGCCACTCATTAACACTGAATTTAACACTTCGTTAGCAATGCGGCTTCCTGTTGAGAGCAGCTAGTGCTGAATGTCAAATCCTCAGAGCATACACTGTGGCCTAGCAGGACAACAGCAAGCCTGGGCCCCTTTAACACACCCTTTAAACACAGTCCTGTTGTCCCACAGGTTTGCTGGTGTTGAGCTGTTGAAAGCCATCAAATATAATTAGATCGGCTGATGACACCTGAGGTATATTTCTCTGGCTAGTCATGAGCGGGAGCGTTTCTACCTGAGTGTGTGTGTGTGTCTGTCTCCTGGTGTATATGTGTGTGCAGTGTGCCAATTTGTCAGGTTTGAAGCAACAACAGTCTCGTGCTGGGATGTGCTTTGGCACCATCAGAGAGTGATAAGACAGAATAATATGATCTTATTGGTGGTGCGCTTTGTTCCCATGGAAATTGGTCAATTTTAGCAGGCGGCTGAGAACTTTGGTGGAAGAAACAGGAAGGTTAGATCCCAGAGGTGCATTCACATAATTAAGCTTCATCACCAGGACTTCCAGGGCTAACGTTGGGGTGTGTTGTGAAAAAAAGTGGTGACAGTGGGTGTTTGAGATGCATATTGTGGCAAAAAAATGATGGCCGTGTTTTTTAGGCCACCATTAGTACATTTAAGAGAGCCTGATTCTTTGATGCTGCATATTTGTGATGCACTTTTTTCATAGGATCTATTAATTTATTCAGAAATACATTAAAACGCAATTCATACCTATAATGACCTGAACTCTTTTTGATGTCTGTTTTAATTTATGATTTTTTTGATTGCATAAATACAAAAATATCAGTGTGAAAGAACTGTACCTATATCATAATGAATTATAATATTTTAAATAACAAAACTGCTTAACTGCTTATTACCTTTGAGTGCTAAAAGGTATGCAGCCTATAAAGTAATGTTCCAACCAACATACAGAAAAAAAAACAAGATACAGGAAAGTATATCAGAGAGAGGACCATCTTCATAAATATTTTTGATATTTGTAAAAAAAAAAAAAAAAAAAAGTTTCTTGAAAGTTACAAAAAATAAATACAAAGAGAACTTGGCAGCTATGTGTTTTCTTGCCCTTTATCAAGGACACTGTGCACCATGACATTGACCCTTATAAGTAGTTATATGGAGATGCTGACTTGAAACTGATCGCTTGTCTGTCTTTTGCAGACTGTGTTGTCTCTGTTATGGCGGCAGTAAAAGAAAGTGCAGAGGAAGACAAAGACATAGAATCTTCCTCTGATGACACTCAAGAGCTGACAAGCACATCTTCTCCCAACAACAACAACAACAACAATAACAGCTTGGATCCACCAGAGCCCCTGCCCTCGGACAGTCACCAAAACCCTTTAAATGGAGTCCAGCCGAACCCATTTGTCTGTGGTAGCGTCCCTGCTGCCCCCAGCACAAACGACTCATTGCCTTCAGGAGCACTTGTTAATGGAGCTGCTTCACACTGTACCTCAGAGGAGCCCTGCGTCCACAACAAAGACATGTCCCCTCTGCCCGGGACAGACACCAGCCCTGAGGTGTTACCGCCTCTCAGTGAGCTTCAATCAGACACCCAGCAGAAAACAGAAGGGTGCGCCCTAAAAATGCGGCCCGCACGGGCCTCATCTGAATCAAACAACAGTGACGGTGAGGCCCCCTTAGATGTGCTGGTGGGGGAAGGCTTGGATAACAGGCCAATCAGCCGACTGTTGGCTAGAAAGGGAATCAAAGCAGGGTGCTTATGGGACTTTGATTCGGAGTTGTCAGAGAGCTCCTCTGATGACTGTGATGGTCTGAACTGGGGCCTGCAGGAGAAGTTCATGCGGATACTGTTGAAAAGCAGCGTAGCAGGTGATGGAGTAAGAACAAAGGTAGAGATTGATGGAACTCCACCTGCCAAGCGAAGACGGAGGATGCGTAAAAATCATGCCATGGAGAGGGCTGACACTGGAGGACAGGTTTATGATGGCTTTGATTACGCATCCCAGAATTCCCTAACCGACGAAGACTCCGATTTTGAGTCGTCCATTAACAAAGAACATGCCTTCAGGAAAGAGCCGGAAAGTTTGAAAGCATATGCCGGCTTGCGCCTGGAGAAATTCTGCGACAAGTCAGCTGCCATGCAGGAGCTAATTTCAAGCAAGAAGGAAGAGAAATGTGATGAAGGCGGCAGCGACGTAGAAACAAACACCTACATGGGTGAAAAATCGGCACGGTTAAAGACAGAGACAAAAACAGGCGAGGAGCTGTCCTTCTTCCCCTGTTCAAAGTGCAACGATAATTTCAAGGAGAAGAGGCATTTGCATAGGCATATGATGTATCATTTAGATAGGAATAATAAGGTGAGACAAGAAGACATTCCCCGACCCTTTATATGTAGAGAGTGTGGGCGTTCGTTCCGAGACCTAACGTCTCTGCAAAAGCACATGATAATCCACCAGGTGCGGAGGGAGAGGCTGATGGAAGAGATTAAAGGTTTCAGTAAGATAGATGTCGAGGGAAGAAGAGCTTGTCTTCAGTGTCCCCAGTGTGTCTTTGGAGCGAAGGGCCCTAAAATTTTCCTCCATCATAGCAAAACTAATGAGAAGGAAAAGACATCTTATAGCTGTGAGGAATGTGATCACATGACTACAACTGAAATGGAGGCACACAAGTGCACAGCTCACCACAACGCATGTGGCAAGACTGGCGACTTTTTTGTATGTCAAATTTGCACATTTAGAAGTAAGAACATATATAGTTTCAGAAAGCACGTGGAGCTTATCCACGGGCAAAATTTTGAGAATTATGAACCTCAACCACACAGCAATGTGGATGACCACATAAAAGCTGTGTTGGACCAACCCAAAAACATGGATTCATCTTTACTTTTGCCAAAGATTCAAAGCACAGAGAAGCGGTCTGTTAAGGACAGAGTTCAGCTGCCCTTTAGGCCCAATGGGTCAGCTGACCTTAATGTGAAAAGCAAAGACACACAAAGAGCCTGTGATGGTTTCAGCTCCTCGCTGATCAAATGGAGCCATGGCAGCCCAGCAAACAAGCTGTCACCATTCTCACTGAGAAGTGACAAGTCAAGCAAATTATCCCCTCTGCCTACAGAGAAAATAGACGTGACAACAGGTCTCCCATATGTCGAAGAAGACAATCAGGAATATGAAAGCGCTGTCTCCGAAAAGAGGACAAAATATCTTTCCAGCTTTGACGTACATCTTACAACGAAAACAGAGATCGTGAGTAAAGCAGCCTGTCTGAACCCTGGCACTGAGAACCGTCCCAAAGATCCTTCAACCGGCAGTACTTTAGCTCTGCAAACGCTGCGGCACAAAGTACTCTCGAAAAGAAAAATGTCAATCCCGTATCGCAATACCCATGCCGATATTCCTCATGTGCATCTTCAAAAATGTGAGCCTGAGTCTCCACAATGGGACTCTAGTACACCACAAGAGGGAGATGACTATGAAGGTTCTCAGGATTTCAGCGACTGCACCAAAGAGTCTTCGGATCGGTTTCATAGCAATACCCCTAGTGATTATTTCATCCCTTTCAACAACAGCATTCCGGACTATACCAATCATACTAATTCAGACAATAGCATAGAGGTGGACAGTGATGATATTTGTACATTTATAGTGAAGGAGGAGTGTATTGAGAGTATAATAAGTGAGGATAACCCTGATCATGTTGTTTATCAGCAAAGTGACCCTTATGCAGAGTATATTGTCAACCCTTTGCCTTCGGTGGGCAGGAAGTGCTGTCCCTATTGCCCCGCAGTATTTGAGTCTGGGGTGGGCTTGTCCAACCATGTGAGAGGACACTTACATAGGGTGGGGCTAAGTTATGATGCTCGTCATGTGGTATCACCTGAGCAAGTGGCATCTCAGGACCGCCAGCCTCGCATACGCAGAAAAATCCCCTCAGTGAATCGCAGAATCAGAAAAGGTGATTATTGTTCACCTTTCCTTGTTCAAGTCATTGTGATTTTAGATAATGCTCTCAAACTAAAATCACACATGCATAACCTATATTTATGTATGTGTACAAACATTTCTACATGTAACTTATTCATTTAAAGTAATTATGTGCTTTCATCATGGCAGATAAGCCAGAGTCTAAGACCGAGCATACCTGTCCGCTGTGCCTGGGCTGGTTTGACACTAAGACCGGCCTCTCCAATCATGTGCGGGGTCACCTGAAGCGGATTGGCAAGCCAATTTTGGGCGCTAGCAAGTCACCTCTCTGCATCCTGACGGAACTTCTTCAGGATGAGACGGAGTACAGGAACATTATAAGGGTGTTTGGTTCCAGACCGCACTTATCGGTGTGATCTGTCTTGTTTCGAGTGATGTTGAATCAAAGAATCTGAGAGTGACAGACAGGTGAGGTTTCAGATATCTGGGTCACAATCCTGCGTTGAACATTCTTTATTCCCATACCATAGGGTATTTATTGTTGTTAGTCGTTTGTTAATAGTTATAGTCCTTGAAGTGCAAATAATAAAGTAGTTTGTTAAGTGCCGTACCATTGATTTGAGATATTTACAGCAAGCATGGGTAGAAATGATCAATACGGTGTAACATGACTGCACAGACTTGTTTCACAGCTGCTCTCATGTGTTTTCCACCTCTACTGCCTTCATTATTTACAGTGCACCTTAAACCCAATTTCAGTCATGCACTCCATATTAAATATGTATGACAGACACCTCATACTTAAGACAAAGTTCTCTTCCTGTAACCTTGAAGTTGCCAGTTGATGCCATTAAAAGAGAAAGGGAAAACAAGATTCAGAGAGTGCATGGCAAAAGTTTGCCACTCATTGAAATATTGTAGCAGGTACAAAAAGAATGAATGTCATCAAAAGTGGCTTTGAAATTCAAATGGAAAACACATAGCGTTCTTTTATGTACTACTGGAAACACATCAGCTGTATTTGCACACCTTTGCTTCATGTCTACCCAAATAAAACTCCCATTTCATTCATAAAAAACAAATTAATTAAGTTTTACAATCACGTTTATTTCACAGGTTGTCTATTTTAATTGGATATACACTGTTAAATACATTTGATTTGACTGTTCAACCAGACTCATATAATCAGGTATGTTTTTTATGTCCTGCTGGAACACTTTGATTAGTGGTGGAGCACTAACAACTATTGCAGGAGGTTCAATGAGACCAGTTAGAAAAAAAAGTAGTTTGTGCTTTTCAGAGTAGTCTAGATGAGTACATATGTAAATCATGAATTGATATTTTCTTAATGAAGTAAAACAATAAGAGATGATCATTTCAGAAGGAGTTTTGTGTATGTCCATTCGTTGATATTACCCAGAATGACCAAAATGGTCAAAAATGTCTTCTTGTGTATTTTTCCAATTCCAATTTTCCAATCTTCAATTATGTTTGTATTAGGATTATTAATTAAAAATGTTGATTTGGTTCAATGAATAAAAATACTAACGATAATAATGTGATTATATATGATTATATGAACTATTACCACAATTAACAATGCCTCCTGACCTTTATGTAACTCCTATATTAAGGAAAGGAGCACTATCTATATGCAAATCATATTTTTGCAAATTCTGCAGTGGCCCAGCTGATACTACAGCATAGAATGAGTAAGAAACTGTCCACACAGGACACATTCTTGTTTTCAAAAACATCAAAACAGAGTGCAGATTGATGTTGAAAAGACATCAAATTGACACCAAAATTGACGTCAAAAAACAAATATGCAAATCAAAGTGGTGTCAAAAACTTGACATTATGTTGATTGGATATGAACTGAATGTCAAACATATTGGCCGACACATTCATTAAACCAATTTCAATGTGGGATTGACTTCCTATTTTCACCCAATTACCACTGGAAGAGATTGCCATCCAAACTGAGTTTAAAATGATGTTATAGCATCCTGATCAAGTCTTGTCTAATATTTGACGTCAAATTGATATCAAGGTACCCGCTGGGTTATGCAATACAACATGAACACAATAAACACATTGTACCTAACAATTAATTTTTCTTGACCCAAGTATATAGGAAAGTCACCTAATATCAAGAGGGACCAAAACATCTAATCAGTTGACAGCCCTAGGTTGTAATTATTGTATACCCTTTGCATATATTACAAACCCTGATTACTAAAGATATTTTTGATCATGAAACATTTCTACCATATGTAGACCACAAAACCAGTCTTAAGTGTCAATTTTTCAAAATTGAGATTTATGCATCACCTGAAAGCTGAATAAATAAGCTTTCCATTGATGTATAGTTTGTTAGGACAATATTTGGCCGAGATACAACTATTTGAAAATCTGGAATCTGAGGGTGCAAAAAAATCTAAATATTGAGAAAATCGCCTTTAAAGTTGTCCAAATGAAGTTCTTAGCAATGCATATTACTAATCAAAAATGAAGTTTTAATATATTTACGGTAGGAAATTTACAAAATATCTGCATGGAACATGAACTTTACTTAATATCCTAATGATTTTTGGCATAAAAGAAAATCGATAATTTTGACCCATACAGTGTATTTTTGACTATTGTTACAAATATACCCCAGCGACTTAAGACTGGTTTTGTGGTCCAGGGTCACATATATTATTACCTATATAGTCAAGCTTCATATAACAGCTGTAGATTAGCATTAAATGAACACATTTCATCTAAAAATACAATGAGAGCAGATTAATAGTTTCAAACATTGCCCCTAAAAACAAACAAACAAACCATCAAACTGAGTGCAAATACTGAGAACATACATGTCCTCAAAAACAGAGTGCACAGCCGATCTTTATGATATGAAAACAGATGGAGTGGGAGGTGATGACACTCAGGGAATCACAGTTTTATTTTCTTCAAGCTGCTGTGTTCCTTTTGTAAATTACACACTCGTGTAGCCATATAACATGCTTTTGCGTTTTAAAGAGCTGTCATAAGTGGAGAGCAGCTACAGGAAAAAAAGCACAGGTCATCGAACTGTTATTTAAATGCTCATTAGCTCCAAACTTTTTATTTGTGTGATCCAGAAAATAAGAAGATCTGCATCCACTGCAACACGACGTTCCACAGCGCTGTCAGCCTGTCCAATCATCTCCGAGCATATGCGCGACGGAAGAAAATTGCCTTATTAGAAGGAACAAGTAGGATTTCATACTTGCTCTTCCAATCTAATATAATCTAATCATCCAGCCACTCAGCTTTTTGTTGATTTTAATTACATCATTTGTTTCACAGCATATGATTGTAAACAGAAGAGGACGAGATCAAGGCCTGGGCCAAAAAGGAAGGTGTTTTCATCTTCACGCGCCGCCTCTGAAGGGATCTACAGAATGACCTGCAGGTACTTTACAGCACTC